GACAATAGAAGAACAAAATGACAAAATAAATGAAAAATTAGAAATGATACAAAATCTACACACACAAAACCAGAAGATTAATACTAAATTTTCAGAAATAGATAAAATATTGGACAGGCAAAGGAGTAGAATTGAATCATTGGAAGACAGAATTAGTGAGATTGAAGGCAAATACCTCAATATTTCTTTGGAAAGTGATCAATCAGAAAAAAGATCCAAACAAAATGAAGAAAGCCTAAGGTTCATGTGGGATACCATCAAAAGAAATAACCTACATGGAATTGGAATTCCAGAATAGGAAGAGACAAATAAAACCACAGAAAAAATTGTCAAAGATTTGTTGGAAAAGAATTTTCCTGGTATGATGAAAGATGAGAATATATCTATTCAGGAAGTCCAACAAAGCCCAAACAGGAGAGACCCCAAAACAAAATCGCCAAGACAGATCATCATCAAACTTAACAAAACCAAAGACAAAGAATCCTGAAAGCAGCATGGGAAAAATGAAAAGTTACCTACAAGGGGCAGCCAGTAACACTAAGCTTAGATTTCTCAGCAGAAACCATGCAGGTGAGAAGACAATGGGATGATATATACAAAAACCCTGAAAGAGAAAAATTTCCAACCAAGTATTATATACCTAATAAAATTTTCCTTCAAATATATGGTGAAATTAGGACATTTCCAGATAAGCAGAAATTATGGTAATTTGTTACAACCAGACCAACCTTACAGGAGATGCTAAAGGGAGTCCTTTGGGCAGAGAAGCAACAACAACAAACAACTGACCATTGACACACATGGTCATATAACCCAGAAACCAACCCAACTATGGAAGTATCCAAAGTAAATAAGCCTACAAGATTGTAAACAGGGAACTAGAGACATTAATTGACAAATGAGGACAACAATAAACTAAAAAAAGGAAAAAATTGTATAGTTACAGAACTTCTAAATGGTAGGGAAATCAGGACAACTACAAGATAGAACAGACTGTTCTAAACTTGGGAAGAAAACTATAAATCACAGGGTAACCTCAAAGAAAAATGGTAAACCTTCACCTTAAAATAAAAAAGAGGACCAGCACAAGTATTTAGCAAATACTCATACAATAGCAACAAAGGAAGTGATAGCACGATTCATAAACAAAATGAGTTCAGCACAGAAAATTATAGGGAACAAAGAAATGAACACCATGAAAAAGCACGTAACAAAAATGACAGCAACAAACTCATACTTGTCGTTAATTACATATCTGGCAAGGTCTTTATTTCTAAAATGTGTAGAAAACTCCAACACCTCAAAAGCAAAGGAATTAACAGTCCAGTTGAAAAATGGGCAGAAGACATGAATAGACACTTCACCAAAGAGATATTCAGGTGGCCAGCAAATACATGAAGAGACGCTCATAATCCTTGGCCGTCAGAGAGATGCAAATCAAAACAACAAGGAGATACCATCTCACCCCAGCACTGATGATGGCGAGGTTTAAAGAGACAAAATAACAAATGCTGGTGAGTATGTAGAGAGATTGGGACTCTCATGCACTGCTAGTGGGACTGTGGAGTGATAGAACCACTGTGGAAAGTAGTTTGGAAATTCCTTAGAAAGCTGGAATTGGAGATACCATTTGACCCACAGTCCCATTACTAGGTAGAGAGGTGAGAGCCAGGACAGGAACAGATATATGCACACCCATATTTATCACAGCACTATTTACAATAGCAAAAAGATGGAAACAACCTACATGCCCATTAGTGGAAGAGTGGATGACCAAATTATGGTACATACACAATGGAATGCTATGCAGCTCTAAAGAATAATAATGTAGAGTCTGCAAAACACCACGTAACATGGATGAACTTGGAGAACATTATGCTGAGTGAAATAAGTCAATCACAGGACAAATATAGTATTAGTTCATTGCTGTGGAGGGTCAAGGAAAGGTTTATATATGGAAAACTGTCTTTGTTGGTTGCCAGGGGTGGGAGGGGAGGGAACACTGCAAAAAAAAAAAAAAAA